ACTGTGGCGGCTGGGGTGCCGCCTGCCCCCGGCCCAAAGGAGAGTCCGCAGCCCAAGCCCTGTCCCGAGCCCCACCTCACCTTCCCCAGGTCCTTCAAGGTGCCCCCGCCAGCCCCAGCCCGCTCCTCCTCCATCCCGGTGCAGGAGAGCCAGCCCGTGCGGCAGGAGCCCTTCCCCAGGCAGCCTCACGCCCGGCCCCCGCTCCCGCCCTGCTTCACCATCAGACCCGCGGCCAAGGCTCATGCAGGAAGAGAAGCCGAGCAAAGAAACTCCCCACCGAGACAGGCCCTTGCCAAGCCGGCCGTGCCAACACCCCCGCCCCTGAGCCCCAAACCAGGCCCAGGTCTCAGCCAAGGGACGAATCCTGCTGGTCGCCGATCCCCGCTGCCAGGCTCTGAGGTGGAGAAGGTTCCCCAGCCGAAAACAGCCGAGAGAGACTCTCCTCCAAAATCTGAGTCTCTCTCTGCCAATGACCTGGACCTCCCCCCTCCAGACTACCCGACCTGTGAGGATGACTGGAGGGACGCCAGCAACATGAGCAGGCTGCGGCATGAGCTCTCGGCCCTCCTGCGCTCCCCACGGAGGGAGGAGAGGCCACCGGAGAAGCCGGCTGCTCCCCGGCCCGTGGATGTCAGTACAGACCGCGCCAGCAGCCACGAGCCCAGCCTCAATGGGCCCCAACTCACCGGACCTGCCGGGAAGGATGTGGGGTTACCTGCGGGAGGGGAGAGCGAGAAGAAGGAGGTGCCCAGCAGCCCCCCCAGTGCCAAGGGGGGCTCTCCCAGCGCGGCGCTCCCTGCTCCGGAGAGCAACCCTGCTGTGCAGACCCGCAGCGTGATGAAAATCAGGAACGAGCTGGAGGCTGTGCTGTCCCTGAAGAAAGAAGGGAAGCCTGCCCTGGGGCTCGGCGGCCAGAAGCAGGGCACTGAGGATGGCGGCAGCACCCCACGTGTGAGGAAGAGCCCTCCTGACCTGAGGAAGAGCCTCCCTGTTCCGGGTGACTCGGTGCTGCCGAAACCAGCCCCAAGCCCGCTCCCAGCACCAGTGGCTGCAGCAGAGAAGGATGAGACGGAGCATGAGGACCATCCCGCTCCTGCTGCTAGCAAGGCCACAGAGAACTTGACCCCTGCTCCCGGGTCCCTCAATGACAGTGTGAGCCCCCCCGACCCACCTCAGGGACCAGCAGAGAAGCTCCCTGCTCCCACCTCCCCCTCGCCCCCCGTTTCTCCAGCACAGAGCCCAGCAGCGCAGCCCAACGCAGCCATCTTCC